AGAATCTCAAGATGAGAAAGATGGCCATCTTTGCCACGAAGTGACGGTACTGCTGAATTATCACTTGGCCCACTGTGTGAGGTAATGAAGCTCTACGGTAAGTGGCGAGAAAAATCTTTTACTTGTGAACGGAGCAACCCAGGTAGTCTAAGAGCTGCAGTTTCCTGCCTTCGGCGAAAGAGCTCTAAAGTCGGAAGAATTATTTCATAGAGTGATGTACATAAGTTTGCCAGGCAATGAGTACTGCTAGTTTCAGAGGGGAGGCTGAGCTTGTATATCGGCATAGGTAAATCATTTATTGAGGTCAACTGCAAAGCACTGATTGCGGGGAGACACTGGGACAGCCACCGGAATCAATTTTGTTGACACACGGCAATGTCTCTTACCATGAAAGCGGCGTGACATCATTGATGCTTACGTTCGTGCAAAGCACAAATGAGGTTCGACGAGAGACAATGAATCTTTGCAGTTTCTGTACCAAAAAGACTTAGGGGAGGTGTCGAATTGTGCTACGTTAGTTGCAGCAACAGTTTGTTCTGCAGAACATAGGAAGTCAGACATGGAGAACCACGTATGATACTTGTAAGCAGTGCCTGAATATTTGTGATTGAAAGTGCTTTTCGCCAATATACATTTGTGACTTTGACACCACTGAGATCCCATTTCTGCGTTGCTTGTTTAGTGAGACTTGCGTGGAGAATGCGCGAGGAATAGGCCATAGTTGATTGGCCGAAACTTTCGTCCCAAAAGGATCTGACAAAATGGCTTGGTCAGCCTACCGATTTTTACAAGCAGAGTGCAAACTATGCCGACATTGCATGATCATTCATCAAACTCAATATAATACATACCAATTAATGTTGACTTTAGTAGAAGAGGCGGCATAAAGGGCTGTGAGAGCAATCCTAATGCATTTCTCAATTCTGTCTCCATCAAACACTGGTTAGCCATTTTATGTCGTCTGTGATATTTCAGTTTAATCATATGTTGTTTTTTGTTTCAAGCAGACGCCAATGGAAGCGACCGCGTTTGATTCTCGCCAGCAAAAGAGCAATTATATTCATGACAAAGGGATACATGCAAAGAGGCATGCCCTAGTCAACTTTAGGATGCACCTGTTTGGCTCTGACAATACAAATCATGCTTCTTTGCGCCCAGTGGTCCCATGACCACATCTCGATCAAAAAGTTACAATATGATTCCTTGCCGTATATATATTTGGGGTTCGCTATAAACTAGGTCGACACCAAATGTATTTTGTGTCGCCTCTTTAATGAGTTGTGGTGTGTCCAATAGCGACGTCACCAATTGATAAGGCGATATGTATAAAGTACTGATCAGACGCCAAATATGCTGGGTTGCCGGAAGCTTTTCGCAATCCGGGAAAACAAGCACTGCTTGTCGAAGCGCGCGGTTGCACGTCAAAACCGCTAGATTTGTTCAAAACTGAATTATGTGGTCCTCAACGTGTTTTGGTTTCTCACGGTGAGGCCGCCAGGTACCAACATTGGATGAGAAGAAATACTGCTCACTGTGCGCAATGTATAGGTAATCCAATATGTATACGCGCTAGTAGACGGACCGTGCATGCGGCGGTCTCTTTTGACAGCCTACAATTCTGGCAGAATATGGCAGCATAATTCAATTTCGGTCTTCTAATACAGAATTCTCAATTCTCGTGATACCAAAATTATGATCTTTGTGGACCGTCTGGTCCGACCACTATACTACACACGCCTGGAGAAGCAGGGTATCGATCCCTGTACCTCTCGCTTGCTAAGCGAGCGCTCTTCCATTTGAGCTACATCCCCCAGACCCGGTGGCGTGGGTCGAGTGGTCAATGCTTCTGGACCTTACGCTGTGTGGCGCGGGTTTGAGCCCCTCAGCAAAGATTGACAAACACTTTTAAATATGGATCAATATCAGCAAAGATTGACAAACACTTTTAAATATGCTTGAAATCAGATTGGACATACAGTTCGCAAGTAGATAGCAATAGGAACGTGTGAGGTGCATTGTGACCGAATTTCGCTGAAACACTTGCGTGGAGAGACCGCAGTGTTGGTTGGTGCATTTTGCTTTCGTTCATTGAGTTTGCGCTGAAAATCACAGTACATGCATCTACAGGCTTAACACAATTCTACATATATGATTTATAAGCCTAGCTACACTCTAGTGCGATATATATGATTTTAACTCGATGAGATTGAGCTTCATGCGCAAGGCTCGCGACGCGATGGTTGAAATTCTTGACAAACAGCAACACGCTGATAGCAGAGTCAGGCTAATACCACACGAATATTTTGAGGACCACCAATTGCAATTTACTATCGTCACATACATACACTCTTTGCGGTCTATGAACATAAGTTGCTACTACGCTACATCGGACCGTTCACGGTCGCAGCTGAGAAGAGATTGATTTTTACTTTCGATATTGTAACAAATATGTGATCACACTGTGTGTTCTAACCAGGTATACTGCAGTTATACAACGATCGCACTTGTGCGAAACGTGAGTTTTTTGGTGGAGACAGAAAAATGTCTCTACCTACCTCTGTAGCTAAGGATGCTCTTTCCTCTGAAGCAGCGACTCAGTTTTGGAACTCTGATGTTGTTTCCAGCCTAGTAGCGTGATGGCGAAACCTTGACAAAAAATGAGACTAGATAAGTCTCAGCCACAGGTGCACGCCGTGACTCCTGGAGAGAGTCTACGTGCTACCACAACCGAGATAGCTCACAAGGCAGCAGTCGGAAGATTGATCTTCATCGGCGTTGCTTGATGAGCAAGCAGTGGCCCACATTTACGTAAAGTTGCGTGTACGTTAATGCAGTTTCCATTATTTAATCAAGTCGAAGGCTAACATTTATGCGGGGATTGGAGGTTTCACTTTGTTGAGATTGCCCTGTTTTGGAGCCGAAATTACGACAAGATAATTTGGACAAGAGCCCGCGAGACAAAGGCGTTTGTGGTAGAGCAAGCTGCATTTCTTGAGCCACGTAGGGGCACAGAAACCTACTTTCTGTACGTTCTGTCAGTGCAGCTCTCACAGTCAACATTTCCACGGAAGCTTGTTACGAACCGCTCAGCGAGACCATAGTGACATCGAGATCATGTCATCATCATGTAATACGCATAAGAATGTGCTCGTATTGATACGACATGTTCTGCTTGAACTCAAATTGCTGCCCCCAGAGGTCAAATTGCGAAGCTGTCGGGGAGCATTTGGAATGCTTGTAGTAATTTTGCATCCATAAGCCACAAGAATTTAGGTACGACCAAGTACAATGTGCTGGTCACATTGAATTGAATCGTGCACAAAATGTATGTTCGCCACATGGTGTATGCAGGTCTCTCTAATTTTGTAAATCCCGCCTTGTTTGCTATCCAAATCAGTGTTGACCTTTTTGATTTATTAGCAATGATTTTCGGAAATTCACAAAGGAGAAACGAAATCTCGTACATCCTGTATTAAAGTAAATAGCAATTGTGAAAATGTTGATTAGGATCTATGGTTTTTGTAGTCTTCTTTTGATAATATTTTACACTTTAAAGTGTCAATAGATTGCAAGGTTGTATAGCATATTATTTACATTGACTACTTGAATATTTGACGTATTAGCATAAAAAGGTTCTGACACTATTTTCTTATCAAATTGAATGGTGTAGTTTATATTTTATAAGGGAATGATGAAGAATCCTGGTAGTACATAAATTTTTAAATATCAAAAGACGATAGTCGCAAACCCATTAAATTCTCGGGGGGTAAGTGTTTTTGGTAATTTTTTTCTTAATATTCTATCCCAAAAGGTTTGATAGCGGTATGAAAACAAATATAGACAATTTATCATAGGGTTTATTGCAAAAGGTGATACAAAGAGGAAATATTCGCGAGATGGGATACAATTGTGTTTAAAATACTAAAAATACGAGACCTGGTAAAATTATCGAGTGTAGCCATTCTTGGTTCACCGTTA